CCTGAATCACTCAGTCCAGAACTCTTAATGAGCTTTGAGGATTCTGATACAAGTTTTAATGAAGATGACAGCTTTATAAAAACTTTTCTTGAAAATGAAATATTTATGAACATTAATAAGAGTGATATTGATGTCATGTCTGAAGTTTTATGTGACCAAGCAGACATAGCTGATGGAAAGTATGATGTAAACCCTGGTGTAACAGAAGTCATCTCTGATGAGATTAATGTAGAGATCCATTATGACCCAGAGCAGTCAGAAATGCAGTCTGTTGCAGAACTATCAGAAGTCCCTTATTATGAAGAGCACTCTGTATTGGAGTGGTAAACACAGGGGTTATGGAACAATCACAAGTCAGGTCACATGTTATGGAGCAGTCAGAAGTCAAGTCTGGTGCTATAGAACAGTCAGATGTCAAGTCTCATGAGTTGGAGCAGTCAGCAATCAAGTCAAATATTATGCAGCAGTCAGAAGTCAAGTCTGTTGGTATGGAGCAGTCAGAAGTCAAGTCTTATGGTATGGAGCAGTCAGAAGTCCAGTCTGGTGTTATAGAACGGTCAGAAGTCAAGACTGATGGGATGGAGCAGTCGGAAGTCAAGTCTAATGGTATTGAGCAGTCAGAAGTTAAGTCTGATGGTATGGAGCAGTCAGAAGTAAAGTCTAATGGTATTGAGCAGTCAGAAGTCCAGTCTAATGGTATGGAGCAGTCAGAAGTAAAGTCTAATGGTATTGAGCAGTCAGAAGTCCAGTCTAATGGTATGGAGCAGTCAGAAGTCAAGTCTTATGGTAAGGAGCAGTCAGAAGTAAAGTCTAATGGTATTGAGCAGTCAGAAGTCAAGTCTGATGGTATGGGGCAGTCAGAAGTCAATTCTGATGTTAGAGAAAAGTCAGAAGTTCAGTCTGATGGTATGGGGCAGTCAGAAGTAAAGTCTAATGGTATTGAGCAGTCAGAAGTCAAGTCTTATGGTATGGAGCAGTCAGAAGTAAAGTCTAATGGTATTGAGCAGTCAGAAGTCAAGTCTGATGGTATGGGGCAGTCAGAAGTCAATTCTGATGTTATAGAAAAGTCAGAAGTTCAGTCTGGTGGTATGGAGCAGTCAGAAGTCAAGTCAGATGGTATGGGGCAGTCAGAAGTCAAGTCAGATGGTATTGAGCAGTCAGAAGTCAAGTCAGATGGTATTGAGCAGTCAGAAGTCAAGTCTGATGGTATGGGGCAGTCAGAAGTCAATTCTGATGTTATAGAAAAGTCAGAAGTTCAGTCTGGTGGTATGGAGCAGTCAGAAGTCAAGTCAGATGGTATGAGGCAGTTAGAAGTAAAGTCTGATGTTACAGAAGGGTCAGAAGTCAAGTCTTATTGTATGGAGCAGCCACCATTCGAGTCCAGTGTAACAGAGAAATCAAGGTACTTGAATTGTAAATGTTCTAGTCAAAGTGTTTTTGTTATAACTACTAGGCGAAATAACAATGATAAAATTAAGGGATACTTTTGTAACCTTAAAGATTATGATCTACAAGAGTCTTGTTTTAAAATAAAATGTGTACATTTATTATTTGTGTTTCAAAGATTTACATTAATTACTTGTAGTTCAAAGTTTTAACTTCAAATCTAAACAAATATAGCCAAATCCAGACAAGGTAATGAGCTTTGGATAAGGGAAAAATTTATAACAGCTAATTTATATATATTACATTATTTCAGTAATTTATTTCTTATCTAAAAAGGGAAAGACTATAGAGTTTTATGATTTATGATTTATTAATGCTATTTAAAACAGACCTTTTAAAACTGGTGATTACCTGGCTGTCAGTTTTGGAAATGATGTATATCCAGCAGTTGTAAGTTACCAAGTTCATCAAATTGTTTATATTGATGTTATTTTTTTCTTTCCAGATTTTTCAAACTTTATTTAACCAGACTTAGATTTCTCTGAAAAAATGTGAAAACCATTGTTACAGTTTTTTTAGTAACTTTTGGCAAACAAATATTAAGTTATTTAACTTTTTCGGTTGTTTTCCTGTTAGAATCTAGAAATTGGGTTACCGGTATGGTATTAACTTAAGAAATTTAGTTCTTACTCTCATTAAAAAAATAAGATACTTGGAAAATCTTTAAATGCTTTTCAATTTTCAAAGTTTCAGTGTCTTAACGTGGTTCTAATTTGGAAAGACTTAGTATTTCAAAACTCTTTTAAGATTTTCCAGTCATCATTTTTATCTAAAAAAACGGACTATTATTTTGAAGTCTAGGTCAGGTTATGTTTGGTTTTGTGTTATTGCCGGAGTCAGCATTGACAGTTGTTAAGTTTTGTGGTTAGGACAATGTTTGGTCTTTTAGGTGCTTGACCATCTTTATTCCTTAAAGGTTTTTTTAACTTTACTGCTAGGTCAAGATATACATACATTTGTATCAACAGTTTTTATCAATACTTCTTTTAAATTAAGATAGTTATGTAATTGTTTCATGCACTGAAACCTAGTTAATTATACCTCATGACACAATTTATTCTGTGATCTAATTTATCATGGTACAATTAAAAATGATTTAAAACAAAACTTTTTTAACAGCGTTCAGTTTTGATTTTATCTATTGAGAAGTCACTTGTCATAATTTGCAAAATTTTGTTTCAGGTGTCTGAATGGCCATGGATTATTTACTATAGAAGTTACAACAGAGGATGGAAGGAGGGCACATTGAAGTATACCATAGCAGCCTGTGATGTTATAAGAAAATTAAAACCGCCTAATATAGTAATGAAGGGGCGCTCATTACTATATATATTTGAAGGTAATATTCTTTTTCCTTTTCGAAGAGCTTCATACCACATCTTCTATTTTTATAATAACAACTTAGTTCATTATTTGCCAAAATTAGTCCAGTTCTCAAATTGGCATAAAAGTCATTGCTCAGAGACAAAATTACCAAATGGTAAACATACATTTGATTTTCAGGGGTATCTTAGCATAATCTCGGGTAATCATTAAAAGAAGATGGTAACTTGAACTATTCTAGCTACAATTAATGATGACAACATATCTTTAATTACCATATATACTGAAAGCATTCGGCAAAAAACTATGTCTTGATTGAAGTAAGTTTGAAGGCAGTACAATACATTTTAAATATATTAGTAATATTTTTAATTTATTTTCTTTCAGATGAAGTCCTTCAGAACTAACACCTCCAGAACTAACAGAGACGATACATTTTTCAAACATTAAAATATTTTTAAGCTTCTAGGCAGTATTTTAGACTTTTGAATGCAAATGCATCATGAATTAAATGGGCAAAGCAATTAAGGTGTTCTGAAGACTACATAAGACTTTCTTTACTACAATCCATGATGAAAGTCATTGAGGCATTGGTCACTATGGTATTTCCATCTTCACTGCGAATTGATTTGAAATTGTTCATTCTTCTGTTGTTTGATGTTTCTTGCCAGACATTACATGGGCATTTTGGCTTGTGTTTCATAAATAATCCATATCCCCCTTTCTGTTTTGAGTGCCAAAGGTTGCAGGTTCAATCCCCAGCCAGATAAAATAAGACATTAAAATTGGTCTTTGCTGCTTCTCATCCAAGCCGACAGCATTTAGGAGTAAAAGCAAAGGTCAGCTTACAGAGGCAACAGAGTCTGTATAATGTGTCTTTGTGGAAAATCCTGTTGAGCGTGTCAGTCTAGTACAAAGCAGAGATCATATTACATCAACTTGTTCTCGCCCTGATGTGCACGTACTAGGTTGACACTGGACGTTAAACAATAATTAATCCATTCATCCATAAAATCTGGTGTGTCAGTCTGGTACAAAGAACAGTTCTTATTGCATTTGGTACTCATATCATATCAACATCTCAGTTCACGACTCTAAAGATATGAACAGATCTAGAAGAATCATTCAGTTACATCTTAAAAAATTTTCGATAAAGATATCATGAATCTTATTTTTCACCTCCTGTAACAATTTTGGCCACATTTAGTGTGACCGATCTAGATAGCAAATTTTCTTAATGTATTACTGAAGAAGATGTTGCTAATGTTACTATTACAAATTGGTTTCTTGTGTATTCATTTGATACAAAGAACACCTGCCAATGACATTCTGTATATTTAGAAATTCTAAACCAGACTGTACATTTTAATTACTCAAAGCATTTATAAAGCACCACTGTGTGCATACATTTCAACTTTTAAAGATGTTGTTGCCAATGTGACATGTCCAAATGTCGCTAACGTTACTCTTTTTTGTCTCCGTCACATTAGCAACAGCCTTAATTCAAAACATGTTTTCTTTCAAGAATCTGGCACAAATTAAACTAGTAAAAAGTAAATATTGGCAACACATGCAACTTTATACTGATTCAATTCTTTTTACTGTGTATTAGATGTCATTTACTTTGAAAAACATAAACTTTTTGTCCCATTTTCCATATGTCACATGTCCATCATCTTAAACATATTTTTTTTTCACTAATATATTAGAAGTAGTAATGTGTAAGATGCTGAATATCTTCCTAAACCCTTTACCTTTCAGAATTTATTTTGGTTTTATTGCTGGTTAAAGGCTTTAAACCAAAATTAATGAAATTTTGGACCAGGGTGCAAAAGGAGAAAATGTGGGTATCCCTGTTTCCTTGGCAACCATTCAATAATCTCTTACACTATTTACTCCTTTTTTGAAGAATTATGACCTACTGATAATAAATTTTCAGAAAATATAACTTTTTTTCATGTAATGGCTTCTTTAATTATTTATCATGAAAGTAGGAGGCAGAACACAATACTGTAAAATCTGCCTTATTCAACATTTTATCATTGCATCCCCAACAAAAAGATACATTTTAATTCTATCAAATAAAACATTCTTCAATACAATGAATAATATACACATAAAAATTTATATCATGAAGAGACTTTACTTTTTCTTATAGGGGCTGTGAGTTAATCAAATATCTAACATAAGAAATTCTATACACTACATGTCTGCCAACATTGCTTACTTACCACTCTCTCCTTGTAATGGTATGATCCACAACAGTTCCAGGTGGTGGGTTTTCTAGATCCCTATTTGTCTGAAATAAATTTTTTTCAATAATGTTAAACAAACCTGATGACAAATAACTTTTTTGTTTCTTTTTTAAACTTTAATCCAGGATTTGACTAGTATTTAATGAGCCAATGACCCACCGAACACTGAAAAAGAGCCAGTCTGAATTATTCTGAATCAAAAAGTTTTCAGTGAAGCTTAATTTTAATACATGAAAATTGTACAAAGTATGAAGTAAATATCTTCTGCAGGTGTGAATAATGGTTTCACAAATGAAATATCTATCATTTTTAGTGTTCGTAGGATTAATATTGGCTATTAGCCTGAATTTTGCTAAATTATGCCACAAAATGCAGTTTCCAACACACCATGATGTAATGTCTGCATAAAAACATGATTTGTCTTTCTTTTATTTTCTGCTCCCATCAAAACGGATTCAGAATCTGTTGTTGCACCTTACAGTTCAAGTGATTATTGATTTGAACACATTCAGCTAAATCCCTTATTAAGTTGTATGGACTTCTTTGCAGCAATTCGTTTATAGAGACATTCACCAACATGCTTTCAGGGCTACTTACAACCATTACCTCTGATGAGTTTTCAGAAAAAAATAAAGCCCTATACATGTAGGTTTTTTGATATAGCCTTTCAAAAATTTATCCCCATAAGAATATAGCTATTTTTTATGATTTATATTCCAGTTTTTGTATAGAATATCTTTTTATCCCATTGTTGTTGCATAACACAACAAATAAATGTATTACCTTGAGAAAGATTCTAGCATTTATTCTTTTTTGGACTACCACTACAGTCATTGTTGGATTATAATTATCCCCAAACTGCCTAAAGCATTGTTTCAGTTGTTCTACTTCATGACCTCCTACAATACTCAGCTGTCCATCACCAACACCATCTCTGAACACAACTACCTTATCTGGGAATGTGTGGTTAACCTTCAAATATATATACATATTATAAACTACAAGAAAGAAGGAGCCTTGGAGCCTAATAACTTTATATATAATTAAAATATATATATATACATATATATGGAATGTCTAGACAATAGTACTCAAGTTTTCTTAAGAAGTATCGTATTAAAAAAACGATACAGAATACAATTGCAATAAATAAGTAAAGTAAGTGTTTAAAAGTGAACACCATCAAATTTAGGTACAAAAAGAATATCAAATAATATAAAATTTACAAATTCAGAATGTATTTCAGATAAAAAATATCCTTCATCAGTATGAACTTCTTAATGTGGAATGGTCTCTTATTCTTTTCTTTGTTTCTATAATCCTGAAGTTTATACATCATTTAATCCAAATGTTATTTGGTGAAAAGGCAAACTAATATTCTGTAATCTTGAAAGTTCTTCAAATTGAGTATAAAAAAAAGATGAGAGGAAAATTTGAAAATTTGAATCATCTAAAAAGGACTGTTAAATATAGACAAATAGCAACCTAACAGTACCATTTGGCTTTGGCCACATAGACTAACCATCTAAATTAAACTTTAACATACCTCATGGTACTTTCTTATTGCTGATGTCATACATATCTTCAGGCCATCAATAAGTTCTTGTCCTGGTAGCTGGAAACAAACTCTGCTGTACCACCTTGTACATTCTTTGTTTGTACTAGACACAAATCCAGCAATAGATCTTTTACCCCTCGTAGCATCATGATATACATCTATTCCAATCACCATCAAGTTACTCTAGAAAATTGATTATATTCACATTTCAATATATTACTAAACAGGCCTAAAAACACTCATATCATTTCTACTAATGTTTTAATTCAAACATAAAAGTTGAAATGGGGCTAATGTTAAAGAACTGTTCACGGAATGGTAATTTCATGTTTTAAATTGAGAATGTCCACCAAGGTAACTGTGTCGCACATCTTGATCTTTATGCATCTTCAGCAAAGGCCACTCTCCAACATTAAGCCTAGAATATAATTCATGACTAAAATCTCTTTTTTGTTGATCTTGTATTGCTAATCATTTTTTATAATCGTCAGTTTCTCTCTATGCTTTTTATCTAGTTTTTTACATAAAAATAGGTAATAACTCCTATAAGGAGTCAACTTAAATTTCTGCAATGTTGACTCATTTGTAGATCTCGTCTTGCTCATCACTTTTGCTGTTTGCATCTTTTCTTTATTTACTATAGTTTTGTCCAAATATGCAAGAAACTGTTCAAAAATCATCATTAAAGGGCAATAACTCATACGAAAAGTCAACTAACAATTTCTGCTATCTTGACAAGTTTGTAGATCTTGTTCTGTTGATCATTTTTTCTGTTTATAGTTTTTGTATTTCTACTTTATTTTTGTCAAAGGGAAAAAACTAGTAAAAATCGTGGTCTAAGGCCAAAAATTCCAATAATAAACAGCTGCGCCATGAGCGCATGATACGCCCGTTGCTTTTTTAAAGAATAAAGTTCAATAACTTCTCAACGTCATATCAGAAATTTATGAAAAACTAAAGGGAGGTTAGCTTAATAGATATAAACCAGTCAGCAAAGTTTCATGAAAACTGCTCAAAGCACTTTGAAGATATTGTCCGAAAACTGGAAAATCACCCTCTTTTTTATGAATAAAATTCCATAACTAGGAAACATAAAATATAAAATTTATAAAAATCGAAAGGGAGCTTATGTCAATAAATATAAACAATTCACCAAACTTACATGAAATCTATTGAAAGCATTTTTGAGTTATGGTTTGAAAACTGGAAAATCCCCTTCTTTTTAAAGAATAAAACCCCACTACTCGGACACATAAAATCTAAATTTAATAAAAATCGAAAGGGAGCTCATGTCAATAGATATAAACAATTCACCAAAGTTTCTTGCAAATTGGTGAAAGTGTTTTTGAGTTATTATCTGAAAACTGGAAAATCACCCTTTTTTAATGAATAAAACCCCACAACTCGGAAACTTAAAATCTAAAATTTATAAAAAACGAAAGGGAGCTCACATCAATAGATATAAACAATTCACCAAAGTTTCATGCAGATTGGTTACAGCGTTTTTGAGTTACTGTCCGACATGTTGACGACGGACAGACAGACGGACGGACAACAGTATACCATAATACGTCCCGTAAATGGGTGTATAAAAAGGAGTCAACTGATAATTTCCACCATGTTCACAAATTTGTAGATCTCGTCCTGCTGGTCCTTTTTGTTATTTAAAGTTTCTCTTTCTCTATTGTAGCTTTCAAGAAAAGTAAAACACAATAAATTTGTACAATCTTCATTAAGGTGACATTAACTCCTATAAGGTATCTAAATTAGCCTTAACAGTTCTACATCAGCTGAGTAAGATAACCCACCATTGGTATACTTAGAGCCCACAACTCTCCACCCAATTTTACATTAATCTGTAATCCCACTTTCTGTGTAACACTTCTCAACTTCTTTTGGTCCTTGATTGTCTTTGCTATGATCACCTGCAATGATTATTTCTACTTTTACTAACAACATCTTATATATCATAATCTATTGCGTAAAACAGATAAGACTCGTACTATTTAAACCAACACTTTTTTGTTAACCTTGCTTTTATTTCACTGTTCTTAAGTAATTTCAAGTTTACAAAAGTTTGTTACAGTATATTTTTCAGACAAATTTATGATTTCTTGGTTACCTAAACATGCAACAAAAACCAGTGTGTGTCCAGAGAAATTAAAGAACGTGTCTGAGGACACAAATGCCCCGCTCAAGATTTGCAATTTTCCAAGTTAAAAAAAGGGGCATTACTCTATTACTTTAGACACAGCGCCAGTTATTAAAACTTGATCACGAATTTTGATACATGGTTAGAAAATTCACACAGATGGAAGGAAAGTTTTTTTGTAAAGGTCATTACTTGCTTGTCTGTTTCAAAATACAATAGAACAAGAACGTGTCCATAATACATGGATGCACCACTCATTATTTTCTATATTCAGTGGACCGTGAAATTGGGGTCAAAACTCTTAATTTGGCATTAAAATTAGAAAGATCATATCATAGGGAACATGTGTACTAAGTTTAAAGATGATTGGACTTCAACTTCATCAAAAACTACCTTGACCAAAAACTTTAACCTGAAGTGGAACAGACGGAAGGACCTACAAACGAACACAGACCGAAAAACATACTGCCCCTAGGTGGGGCATAAAAATACACATTTTCTCTGAGCTTTCTCTTCCTTTTATGCAGTCAATACACAAGGAAGTTTATCCACATGTCATAGTATACTATTAGAAATAATCCGTACTAACTTGGTATAATAAATAAAGAACTGTTATATAGGTAATAGGTGACTGCTGTGAGCGTAAATATAATTTTTTTTTAAATCCATGCATTTTCATTGCAACTTGAGTTTCAATACACAAATAATGATCATTATGAAAAGTTGTATAACACCATGTTAAATTATTGATTCTATCAAAATCATATAAGAACTAACCTGAGAAGGTACTGGACATTCAACACAACATAGTTTCTTGACTGCTGAATATCTATCATCTCTGGATGTTGGGAAGATTATCACAACCATTTGTACCTGTATATAGAAATCATAGTTTAATCATGTTTAATTAAAACAGTCACATTGTTTCTCTGCATTCAAAAATTTTGTGAATGCCAAGTTTTTCACTATTAAAATCTGAAACAGATTTTTGTGCTAGAAAAGCAATTGTGCTGTTGTCTGAAGTAATCTGCTGGTGAGCAAGAATGTTGTACAATAATGTTATTTCATTTCAATTTAAAGCTTACACTCTAGTAATAGGTGTTCTAGTGATCATAGATAGCAATATTCTCAAAAAGTAAATGCTAAAACTGTCAAAATCCAACTTGATCTGTACTCTTTTGTTAATAAACTTTGTGTTAAAATATATTGAAAATAAATGTGGATAGTGTCCACATGTGGACACAGATGATGCCCCCGCTTACATATCATATAGTTATAAAGGGACATAACTGAAGAACGGTAAAAGTGACGCTACCCAAATTTGAACTTGATCTGAGTTTTGTGGTAATAAGCATTGTGTGTTAGTCTCATAACATTTGGTTGAGGCTAACTTAAGTAGAGAACAGAAACAAAAAATTCAGCAATTTTTCTATTTCTAAACACGCATAACTCTAGAATGGTTGTGTACAAGTTTTATAACATTTGGTTGAGACAAACTAAAGTTAGAGGACAGAAACGAAAAATTCAGCAATTTTTATGTTTATAAATGGACATAACTCAAGAATGGTAAAAGTGTCGCCACCAAATTTCGTACCGTACTTAATCTGTATTATGTAGTAATAAGCATTGTGTTTTAGTTTCATAACATTTGGTTGAGGCAAACTAAAGTTAGAAAACGGAAACAAAAAAAATTGTACTTGATCTTAGTTTTGTGGTAATGAATATTGTGTATAGGTTTCATAATGTTTGGTTTGGGCAAACTTAAGTTACAGAATGGAAACTAAAAATTTTGCAATCTTTCGATTTATAAAGGGGCATAACTCAATAATGGTTAAAGTGACACTACCCAAATTCAACTTGATCTGTGTTTTATCAGTGGAAGTCAAAATTAAACATTGCATTGTATAAAGCATTGATTGTAGTTGATTCAACTGTAATCATGGACAAAGGAAGATAATTCCAATTTAAATAAAATGCTTCGCTGGGCGCAGCTTGATACGACCGCAGAGGTCGAACCCTGAACAGTTGGGGCAAGTATGGACACAACATTTAAGCTTGATACAGCTCTGAATTTGGATTGTGATTAAATATTTGACACAGCATAGGTTTCTGACACAGAAAGAATGTGGTCTAAGAACTTCAATTTTTTTAATTTACCTATTATGGTCCAATGTCCAAAATCAAAATACATGGTTAGATTCAGCATATCAAAGAACCCCATATATTCAATTTTTGTTGAAATCAAACAAAGTTTAATTTTGGACCCCAACTTGGACAAACTTGAAAACTGGTCCCATAATCAAAAATCTAAACACATGTTTAGATTCAGCATATCAAAGTACCCCAAGAATTCAATTTTTGTTAAAATCAAACTAAGTTTAATTTTGGACCCTTTGGACCTTAATGTAGACCAATTTAAAAAACGGGACGCAAAATTAAAAATCTAAAAACACGGTTAGATTTGGCATATCAAAGAATCCCAATAATTCAATTTTTGATGAAATCAAACAAAGTTTAATTTTGGACCCTTTTGACCTCAATATGAACCAATTTGATAGCGGGCCCACAAAATAAAAAATCTAAATACATGGTAAGATTCAGCATATCAAAGAATCCCATATATTCAATTTTTGTTGAAATCAAACAAAGTTTAATTTTGGACCCCAATTTGGACCAACTTGAAAACTGGGCCAAAAATCTAAAATCTAAATACATGTTTAGATTCAGCATATCAAAGAACCCCATATATTCAATTTTTGTTGAAATCAAACAAAGTTTAATTTGGACCCCAACTTGGACCAACTTGAAAACTGGTCCCATAATCAAAAATCTAAACACATGTTTAGATTCAGCATATCAAAGAACCCCAAGAATTCAATTTTTGTTAAAATCAAACTAAGTTTAATTTTGGACCCTTTGGACCTTAATGTAGACCAATTTAAAAAACGGGACCCAAAATTAAAAATCTAAATACACGGTTAGATTTGGCATATCAAAGAACCCCAATAATTAAATTTTTGATGAAATCAAACAAACTTTAATTTTGGACCCCAATTTGGACCAACTTGAAAACTGGGCCAAAAATCTAAAATCTAAATACATGTTTAGATTCAGCATATCAAAGAACCCCATATATTCAATTTTTGTTGAAATCAAACAAAGTTTAATTTTGGACCCCAACTTGGACCAACTTGAAAACTGGGCCCATAATCAAAAATCTAAACACATGTTTAGATTCAGCATATCAAAGAACCCCAAGAATTCAATTTTTGTTAAAATCAAACTAAGTTTAATTTTGGACCCTTTGGACCTTAATGTAGACCAATTTAAAAACGGGACCCAAAATTAAAAATCTAAATACACGGTTAGATTTGGCATATCAAAGAACCCCAATAATTCAATTTTTGATGAAATCAAACAAAGTTTAATTTTGGACCCTTTTGACCTCAATATGAACCAATTTGATAGCGGGTCCACAAATAAAAAATCTAAATACATGGTTAGATTCAGCATATCAAAGAACCCCAAGAATTCAATTTTTGATGAAATCAAACAAAGTTTTATTTTGGACCCTTTTGACCTCAATGTGGACAAAGTTGATAACGGGGCCCAAAAATCAAAAATCTAAATACATGGTTAGATTCAGCATATCAAAGAACCCCATATATTCAATTTTTGTTGAAATCAAACAAAGTTTAATTTTGGACCCCGATTTGGACCAACTTGAAAACTGGGCCCATAATCAAAAATCTAAATACATGTTTAGATTCAGCATATCAAAGAACCCTAAAAATTCAATTTTTGTTCAAATCAAACTAAGTTTAATTTTGGACCCTTTTGACCTTAATGTAGACCAATTTGAAAACGGAACCAAAAATTAAGAATCTAAATACACGGTTAGATTCGGCATATCAAAGAACCCCAATAATTCAATTTTTGATGAAATCAAACAAAGTTAAATTTTGGACCCTTTGGACCTCAGTGTGGACCAATTTAAAAACGGGGCCCAAAATCCAAAAACTTAATACACGGTTAGATTCAGCATATTAAAGAACCCCAAGAATTCAAGAATAAAACCCCATTGAAATTGATCAAGAAATAAGCAATTTATACGAAGTATCTTCTTTTGCACAATACTGTGCAATTGAATATTTCTTGCTATTGTGCAATACTGTACAATTGACAATTTCTTGCTATTGCGCAATATTGTGCTATTGGATATTTCTTGCTATTGCGCAATACTGTGCAATTGAAGATTTCTTGCTATTGCGCAATACTGTGTAATTGAAGATTTCTTGCAATTGTGCAATACTGTGCAATTGAAAATTTCTTGCTATTGCACAATACTTATTATATAATAATTTACACATCCTGTTTGGTGTGTATCTCCTACCATATCATTATTATTTGCTTTTAAATATTAATCAGAAATAACCAACTTAAAATGGAAAATTTTAAAAGAAAAAAAAAGGAAAAAAAGAAAAAAAAAGAAAAAAAAAAATCCCCCCCCCCAAAATTTTTTGAACCCCCTTATGATTCATCACCCCCAAACTCAATCCCAGCCTTCCCTTTGTGGTATGGTACCTTGCAGTACAATTTCAGAGAGATCCATACACTTGAACACCAGTTATTGTCTGGAAACTAGAAAAATGCTTATTTTTGGCCCCTTTTTGGCCCCTATTCCTAAACGTTTCGGGCAATTACCCACAAACTCAATTCCAGCTTTCCCTTTGTGATATGGAACCTTGTAGTACAATTTCAGAAATATCCAAACACTTACACACAAGTTATTGTCATGAAACTAGAAAAATGCTTGTTTTTTGCCCCTTTTTTGGCCCCTAATTCCTAAAATTTTGAGGCAATTACCCCCAAAATCAATTACAGCCTCCCTTTGTGATATGGAACCTTGTGGTACAATGTCAGAGAGATCCATACACTTACACACAAGTTATTGTCTGGAAGTTACAAAAATGCTTATTTTTGGCCCCTTTTTGGCCCATAATTCCTTAACTGTTGGTACCATAACCCCCAAAATCAATCCCAACCTTCCTTTCGTGGTATTGAACCTTATGGTAAAATTTCATGGAGATCCATTCACTTAAACTAAAGTTAGAGTGCGAAAACCAATGTGTCTTCGGACGACGCCGGACGACGCCAGACGACGACGACGACGACGACGACGACGACGACGACGACGCCAACGTCATACCAATATACGACCAAAAAATTTTCAATTTTTGCGGTCGTATAAAAATAACTTGATATTTAGAAGAAAATAAAAAATTTTGCAATTTTTCCATTTATAAAGGGACAAAACTCTAGAACCGTTAAAGTGACGCCACGAAAATTCAAATTTGTTCTGTGTTTTGTGGTAATAAGCATTGTGTATAAGTTTCATAACATTTGGTTGAGGCAAACTTAAGTTAGAGAACGGAAACTAAAAATTTTGCAATTTTTCCATTTATAAAGGGGCATAACTCTAGAACGGTTAAAGTGACGCCACCAAAATTCAAACTTGATCTGTGTTTTGTGGTAATAAGCATTGTGTATAAGTTTCATAACATTTGGTTGAGGCAAACTCAAGTTAGAGAACGGAAACCAATTTTGGGACGTATGTACGTACGTACAGACGGACAAGGGTAAAACTAAATGCCACCAACGCTACGGCGGGGGCATAAAAACCAACTTTCAAGTGATACATCTCCTAAAAACAAATCACATGAAGGTAACTGCCAAAGCTGTCAAAATTGAACTTGACCTGTATTCTACTGTTCATGACTAATGTTAAATTCTGAAAAGATTTTGTCCAACAACACTTTAATTATTATCTGGAAACCTAAAAATACCTACCGTTAAAAGGCTTGTATAGTCCGCGGTTTTATTCTCAAAAATTGACCCTGACAGCAGGGGTGCGGACTATAGAGTACAACAAGAAATGATTGTAACAGGATGCTGTTACGAAGTCTCCCAAACGAAGCTCCCATAATTCGTAATTCACAGGGTCGCCTGACATTGGGCAACATCCAGTGAAAATTGGTTTGGTCCAGTAAAGTTATATGCATTAGTGATGCCTGGGGACTAACCTTGTATATCATTCAAATCATCTTGGCATGACAAACCAGAATATATATGGTTTAGGGGTGGGGATCTCAACCATTTACAAGATACTAGAACATTGGGGGTGGGGAGGAACCCCTGGGGACTGGCCCTATACGTCATTCAAATGTTCATTACATGACGAACAGGAATATATATGGTTTAGGGGAGGGGATCTCAATCATTTACAAGATACTAGAACATTGGGGGTGGGGGGAACCCCTGGGGACTGACTGTATACGTCATTCAAATGTTCGAGACATGACAAATAGGAATATATATGGTTTAGGGGTGGGGATCTCAACCATTTACAAGATATTAGAACTTTCTCAAATGGCAGGGGGTCGGGATGACCCCTGGGGACTAACCCTGTATATCATTCAAACCATCTTAGCATGACAAACCAGAATATATATGGTTTAGGGGTGGGGATCTTGACCACTTACAAGGTATTAGAACTTTCTTAAATGGCAGGGGGTGGGGGTGACCCCTGGGGACAAACCCTGTATTTCATTTAATGGGCTTTATCATTTAGAACATTTTCAATTAAAAAGATTGTGTCTATCACAAACGGTTTTCAATTTTTAATCATTTGAAAATTTTAAAAAATAAAATCCCATAGGGTTCTATAGTAAAACCCTCTTTTCTTTTTGCCCCTCAAAGTACCCCTTTATAAACCCCATTGCACAAACAAAACCCTGATTGCACCACAAGACATGTTAGTCTAACATATTGTGAAACCCTAAGTTAATCTGACAAGCGGTTTTGGAGAACAGGTGCGGACAAGTTCAAATTTAAAAGTGGCGGAAGAAGAAGAAGAAGAATAATAATAACAAGTAATCCTGTGTTAGGATGCTAACACAAAAGTCGCCAAAACAGCCCCCAACCATTGTTCTGCTGTTTCCATGGTAACGGCAGCCATTTTGAAATTTCAAAGTCGGATATAACATCTACACGTGACAGGTCACAGTACTTACAAGTTTCATAAAAATTGGACCAATTTTCAAATTTAGGCATTCGTGTTTCCATGGTTAAGGTGGCCATTTTGGAAATTCCAAAGTCAAATGTCACATCTACATAAGACAGTCAACATTTGTGTAAAGTTTCATTAAGTTTAAAGCATTTTGAATTTTTTGACATTTTTGCAGTTTCCATGGTAACGGCAGCCATTTTGAAAATTCCAAAGTCGGATGGCACATCTACACATGACAGGTCACATTACTGTCAAGTTTCATAAAGATTGGACCAAATCTAGATTTTTCGCATTTTTGTTGTTTCCATGGCAACGGCGGCCATTTTGGATATTCCAAAGTCAAATTCCAAATCTACATACACTCGTTAACATCTCTGTAAAATTTCATTAAATTTGAAGCATTTTAAAAAATTTTCACATTTTTGCAGTTTCCATGGTAACGGCGGCCTTTTTAAAAATTCCAAAGTCGAATTACAGCTACATATGGTGCTACCTGTAATAATCTATCATTATATAACATAAAAAGTACATAGGAATAATTCAACACTATCACTTGACTAATCACATGACTATTGTTCTAGAATGTCACCCTTTCCCCCATTGACACTAAGCGGCAGCCATCTCAAAAATTTTAAACAGTGAATGCACATATATGCATGGCAATACATATCTCTGTTAATTTTCAGAACATTTGAAGCCTTAAGACATTTTCACATTGTTGCTGTTTCCATGGCAATGGCAGCCATTTTGGAAATTTGAAAGTCAAAAGTTTCATCAACACTTGCCAGATAACATTATTGTCAAGTTTCATTAAGTTTGGAGCATTTTAAAATTTTTGACATTTTTGCAGTTTCCATGGCAACAGTGGCCATTTTGGAAATTCCAAAGTCAAAAGTCTCATCTATACCTGCCAAGTAACAATCATATTAAGTTTCATAAAGTTTGGAGCATTTTGAAATTTTAAAAATTTTTGACATCTTTGCTGGTTTCCATGGTAACAGAGACCATTCCCAAAATTTAATGACAGATGCCACATTGGTACATTGGAGGGAACATACCATCAAAGTTTCAATAGATTTGACCTACCATTTTAAGAGAGGAAATGCTACTTTAAGGTTTTTGGAGCATTTTGACCTTATTTGCATTATTTCCATGGTAACGGCAGCCATTTTGGAAATTCCAGAGCCAAATTCCACATCAACCAATGTTGCTCATCGTTACTGTGAAGTTTCATTAAGTTTGGAACATTCTGATATTTTTGAAATTTTTGATTTAGTTTCCATGGCAACATAGTAGTTCCGGTGATTGCTAAAATCATCCAATACCAGTATATAGTGGGCACCTACATTGTATTAAAATTTGATGATTTTAAGTTAAAGCATACCCAAATAATTCACCAAACCCTAAAATTTTATTTTTTCACCTTTTTTCGGTTTCCATGGTAACGGCAGCCATATTTTAGTTCCAAAGTTCCACTGCAACGCAAAAGTTGGTGTTCCTTGTTATAGTGACTAATAATTGAGATTGGTTCCATTGGCTCTGAGAAAACGTCCGGACAAAATTAGGTGGAAGTATAATAATAATAATAATAATACAGAAAAAAAAACAGAGGAAAAGCAATACATCACCCGACATTGTCGATCGGGTGACATAATAATAATAATAATAAGAAACGGGACAAAAACATAAAGTCCTCAAAACTCTGTTTTGGCGACTTAATAAGAACTGAGCAAAAACAATAAGTCTTCCCAAACTTCGTTTGGGAGACTTAATAAGCAAGAAATAAGAGAGAAAATTTCAATTTCGCGATGTGGTTTGTTTACGTTCCGCCATGTTTGTTATTGACATTGTAGAGGGCGCTCTTGTCATTTTTCAAACCAATAATTTTACCAAATCCATATTAATAAGTTATTTTTATTCAATATCAAATTAATACTGATAAATTTAATAAAATGCTCCGCAGGGCGCAGCTTGATACGATTGCAGAGGTCGAACCCTGAACAGTTGGGGCAAGTATGGACACAACATTCAAGCTTGATACAGCTCTGAATTTGGATTGTGATTAAATATTTGACACAGCATAGGTTTCTGACACAAAATGAATGTGGTCTAAGAACTTAAAAATTTTAAATTGGACATTCACCTATTATGGTCAAATATCCAAAATCTAAATACATGGTTAGATTCAGCATATCAAAGAACCCCAAGAATTCAATTTTTGATGAAATCAAACAAAGTTTAATTTTGGACCCTTTTGACCTCAATGTGGACAAAGTTGATAACGGGGCCCAAAAATCTAAATACATGGTTAGATTCAGCATATCAAAGAACCCCATATATTCAATTTTTGTTGAAATCAAACAAAGTTTAATTTTGGACCCTGATTTGGACCAACTTGAAAACTGGGCCCATAATCAAAAATCTAAATACATGTTTAGATTCAGCATATCAAAGAACCCTAAAAATTCAATTTTTGTTAAAATCAAACTAAGTTTAATTTTGGACCCTTTGGACCTTAATGTAGACCAATTTGAAAACGGAACCAAAAATTAAGAATCTAAATACACGGTTAGATTCGGCATATCAAACAACCCCAATAATTCAATTTTTGATGAAATCAAACAAAGTTAAATTTTGGACCCTTTGGACCTCAATGTGGACCAATTTAAAAATGGGGCCCAAAATCCAAAAACTTAATACACGGTTAGATTCAGCATATTAAAGAACCCCAAGAATTCAAGAATAAAACCCCATTGAAATTGATCAAGAAATAAGCAATTTATACGAAGTATCTTCTTTTGCACAATACTGTGCAATTGAATATTTCTTGCTATTGCGCAATACTGTACAATTGACAATTTCTTGCTATTGCTCAATATTGTGCTATTGGATATTTCTTGCTATTGCGCAATACTGTGCAATTGAAGATTTCTTGCTATTGTGCAATACTGTCCAATTGAAGATTTCTTGCTATTGTGCAATGCAATTGAAAATTTCTTGCTATTGCACAATACTTATTATATAATAATTTACACATCCTGTTTGGTGTGTATCTCCTACCATATCATTATTATTTGCTTTTAAATATAAATCAGAAATAACCAACTTAAAATGGAAAATTTTAAAAGAAAAAAAAAATGAAAAAAAGAAAAAAAAAAGAAAAAAAAAAATCCCCCCCCCCAAATTTTTTGAACCCCCTTATGATTCATCACCCCCAAACTCAATCCCAGCCTTCCCTTTGTGGTATGGTACCTTGCAGTACAATTTCAGAGTGATCCATACACTTGAACACAAGTTATTGTCTGGAAACTAGAAAAATGCTTATTTTTGGCCCCCAATTCCTAAACGTTTCGGGCAATTACCCCAAACTCAATTCCAGCTTTCCCTTTGTGATATGGAACCTTGCAGTACAATTTCAGAAATATCCAAACACTTACACACAAGTTATTGTCATGAAACTAGAAAAATGCTTGTTTTTTGCCCCTTTTTTGGCCCCTAATTCCTAAAATTTTGAGGCAATTACCCCCAAAATCAATTACAGCCTTCCCTTTGTGATATGGAACCTTGTGGTACAATGTCAGAGAGATCCATACACTTACACACAAGTTATTGTCTGGAAGTTACAAAAATGCTTATTTTTGGCCCCTTTTTCGCCCCTAATTCCTTAACTGTTGGTACCATAACCCCCAAAAGCAATCCCAACCTTCCTTTCTTGGTATTGAACCTTATGGTAAAATTTTATGGAGATCCATTCACTTAAACTAAAGTTAGAGTGCGAAAACCAATGTGTCTTCGGACGATGACGACGCCAACGTCATACCAATATACGACCAAAAAATTTTTAATTTTTGCGGTCGTATAAAAATTAAATGCTTCATTACAAAATACTTGTTTCTTTTCAATGCATTGCTAAATATAAACTGGTATCTGCTTGAATGAAATCGTGCAAAAAAAGTAAAAAAAGACAACCGTAAACTACAAAACGTAATCAGTTATTATTCATTCCGTTTTGGTGTTTCCTATTGACAAATATGTTTTGTATTAGCTTAAGACCTTTCAAACATTAATGTGAAAGATATATTAAACACTGTTTTACATAAGGAGGGAACTGTTTTACTTTCAATGTCGTATTATAGTGATATCTATTATGTACGGATTTCGACTCTCACTGGGTTTTTTCATCTTTTACACATGCTTTTCAAACTTCCGGTTTAAACATACACAAGTTTCTAAATTGTTTTTTGTGTGATTTAGACTTATTTTAACCAGCGTGAAGTGTTTTAGAACCATTTACAAACAGTTTCAGCTTCTGTTTGGTGATGGAAAATAGGTTTTTCCAAGAAAATACCGCAAACGACCACACACGATTTAAAATTACCGGAGTTTCATTAGTCCTTTTCTAACAGTTACAAAAAGTTTTTTTACCTGAAATTTCATGGGGAGAAGGGGGGGGGGGGGGGCGGCGGACTATGTACCAGTGCGAACTATACAAGCCCGATTACGGTAATTTTAAGATGCTTTAAGGCTCTTTGAAGGGTAGATGCAACAAACATCAAAATTAAACTTGATCTGTATCTTATGATCCATGATATTGTGTTTAAATTGCAAAATATTTGGTCAAGCAGAACTTTAATTTAGAAACAAAGAGTGACCAATAGACAGGTGAATAGCCAGACATGTTCATCATAGTATACTCCCATCTTATTGAGATGGGGTTTAATCAGATGTGGTTTTACAGCTGCCATTGAGACAATAATCTACTAAAAGTTCAAAGAGCAAGGATTTAAACAACTACAGGTTAACCTTCAACAATGAGTAAAACCAGTACCATAAAGTTACCTATTTCTTTTTAATTGTGTCGAAAAAGAAATTACTTGAAAAAGCTTAAACGAGTAGGGGTGCTAAGAGCCTTATTTGGCCTAGAAAATTGATGTATTAAAAATTCACAGGATTTTGTGTAAAGATGATTGAAATCAGCAAATTTAACAGTATGAGGTCTTAAAAGTTGGTGACAAAGTATAATTAACATTTAGAGATTTAACAGTCTAGGGATAACATAAATTAATTTTTTCTACAAAATTTTTTAAGAAAAATGAAATATTTTGACACATATTTGTTAGGAGGACTACGACTTCCACACATTTTGATGAACAAATCATAGATTTTAGTCAATCTTTGAATGTTTTTTGAACCCTCATGTATTTAGCACATGCTAGTCATACTAAATAATTTACTATCGTTTTTATCTATGAACAACATCTCTCGTGTAATACATGTTTGGCATTTGCATGTGCTGGGGTTGTCTACGACATCAACCATTTGAAGATTGACCAAGTATTTTCCCCCAAAATGAGTAGAAGTGACATCATAACTATACTTCATTCGGGAAATGATAGATCCTTATTTATTCACATTTTTTTACAATCATAAGTTAACCACCTAAAAGCAACTTACAAAGTAGTCAAGTACATAGTGTATAATATATCATGTTTATCAATTGTTTCTAAACAAATTCTTACAATCTATATAGGTAGAGTTGCAAATATGTGATTTGTCCTGTATTATGGTAAACAAATATTACTCTTGATCTAAATACGATTAAACTTACTGTAGGATTTATATTATCTCTTAAAGATTTGATATATGTTTCTGTCCTGTCATCCCTGAGCTCATATCTTGTTGGATTATTGCACTGTATTCCCATTTGAGGACAGCACTTTAACATCATACTGATGTATTCTTGTACTGTACTGGAATCTCTTTTGGTGTATAACACAATCCAGTTACGGAGATCAACAGCTGTTATAACAGTTTTTCTTGTAGCGTCCCTTCCCCAGTCAGCCTGAGGTCCTGCCATGACATGGCCATCCCTGAATATAATTTTCTCTTCCTGCACTTGCCTGCCATCAATCTGTTTCAAATAAATTACAACTTAAACATAGCAAGTTAAAATATCTATCAAACGATTTGATTTTCCCTCAAGGAGACAAAAATGGAAATTAAAATATAACATTTGACTTTTCCTTTTTTACTTAGATAATTTTACTGCATGTATAACAAGCATTAACATGCAGTTGGTAAGAAGACATATGATGCCATTTAATAATGAATTTGACACAACCGGTCTTTTATTTTAGTCATAAATTACATAGGCTTTGTGGAGATAAATCAAATACAAATTCAAATAAAATGCTCCGCAGGGTGCAGCTTGATACCACCGCAGAGGTCGAACCCTGAACAGTTGGGGCAAGTATGGACACAACATTCAAGCTTGATACAGCTCTGAATTTGGATTGTGATTAAATATTTGACACACCATAGGTTTCTGACACAGAATAAATGTGGTCTAAGAACTTAAAAATTTTAAATTGGACATTCACCTATTATGGTCCAATATCCAAAATCTAAATCCATGGTTAGATTCAGCATATCAAAGAACCCCAAGAATTCAATTTTTGATGAAATCAAACAAAGTTTAATTTTGGACCCTTTTGACCTCAATGTGGACAAAGTTGATAACGGGGCCCAAAAATCAAAATACATGGTTAGATTCAGCATATCAAAGAGCCCCATATATTCAATTTTTGTTGAAATCAAACAAAGTTTAATTTTGGACCCTGATTTGGACCAACTTGAAAACTGGGCCCATAATCAAAAATCTAAATACATGTTTAGATTCAGCATATCAAAGAACCCTAAGAATTCAATTTTTGTATGGACACAACATTCAAGCTTGATGCAGCTCTGAATTTGGATTGTGATTAAATATTTGACACAGCATAGGTTTCTGACACAGAATGAACTTAAAAATTTTAAATTGGACATTCACCTATTATGGTCCAATATCCAAAATCTAAATACATGGTTAGATTCAGCATATCAAAGAACCCCAAGAATTCAATTTTTGTTGAAATCAAACAAAGATTAATTTTGGACCCTTTTGACCTCAATGTGGACAAAGTTGATAACGGGGCCCAAAAATCAAAAATCTAAATACATGGTTAGATTCAGCATATCAAAGAACCCCATATATTCAATTTTTGTTGAAATCAAACAAAGTTTAATTTTGGACCCCAATTTGGACCAACTTGAAAACTGGGCCCATAATCAAAAATCTAAATACATGTTTAGATTCAGCATATCAAAGAACCGTAAGAATTCAATTTTTGTTAAAATCAAACTAAGTTTAATTTTGGACCCTTTGGACCTTAATGTAGACCAATTTGAAAACGGAACCAAAAATTAAGAATCTAAATACACGGTTAGATTCGGCATATCAAAGAACCCCAATAATTCAATTTTTGATGAAATCAAACAAAGTTTAATTTTGGACCCTTTGGACCTCAATGTGGACCAATTTAAAAACGGGGCCCAAAATCCAAAAACTTAATACACGGTTAGATTCAGCATATTAAAGAACCCCAAGAATTCAAGAATAAAACCCCATTGAAATTGATCAAGAAATAATTAATTTATACGAAGTATCTTCTTTTGCACAATACTGTGCAATTGAATATTTCTTGCTATTGCGCAATACTGTACAATTGACAATTTCTTGCTATTGCGCAATATTGTGCTATTGGATATTTCTTGCTATTGCGCAATACTGTGCAATTGAAGATTTCTTACTATTGCGCAATACTGTGCAATTGAAGATTTCTTGCTATTGTGCAATACTGTGCAATTGAAAATTTCTTGCTATTGCACAATACTTATTATATAATAATTTACACATCCTGTTTGGTGTGTATCTCCTACCATATCATTATTATTTGCTTTTAAATATAAATCAGAAATAACCAACTTAAAATGGAAAATTTTAAAAGAAAAAAAAAAGGAAAAAAAGAAAAAAAAGGGAAAAAAAAAAATCCCCCCCCCCCAATTTTTTGAACCCCCTTATGATTCATCACCCCCAAACTCAATCCCAGCCTTCCCTTTGTGGTATGGTACCTTGCAGTACAATTTCAGAGAGATCCATACACTTGAACACAAGTTATTGTCTGGAAACTAGAAAAATGTGTTTTTTGGCCCCTTTTTGGCCCCAAATTCCTAAACGATTAGGGCAATTACCCCAAAACTCAAACCCAGCTTTCCCTTTGTGATATGGTACCTTGAAGTACAATTTCAGAAAGATCCATACACTTGAACAAAAGTTATTGTCTGGAAACTAGAAAAATGCTTGTTTTTTTCCCCTTTTTGGCCCCTGATTCCTTAACGTTTTGGGCAATTACCCAAAACTCAATTCCAGCTTTCCCTTTGTGATATGGAACCTTGTAGTACAATTTCAGAAATATCCAAACACTTACACACAAGTTATTGTCATGAAACTAGAAAAATGCTTGTTTTTTGCCCCTTTTTTTTGCCCCTAATTCCTAAAATTTTGAGGCAATTACCCCCAAAATCAATTCCAGCCTTCCCTTTGTGATATGGAACCTTGTGGTACAATGTCAGAGAGATCCATACACTTACACACAAGTTATTATCTGGAAGTTACAAAAATGCTTATTTTTGGCCCCTTTTTGCTTAACTGTGTCTGTTGGTACCATAACCCCCAAAATCAATCCCAACCTTCCTTTTGTAATATTGAACCTTATGGTAAAATTTCATAGAGATCCATTCACTTAAACTAAAGTTATAGTGCGAAAACTAATGTGTCTTCGGACGACGACGACGCCAAGTTATACCAATATACGACCGCAAAATTTTTGCGGTCGTATAAAAATTCTGGTTTGACCTGACCTGGCACTGAGATTATGACCTAACACCAATGTGGTAAGTAGTCAACTAAAAGACATCAGTCACTATTTCAACTCAACTTTTAGTTTGTCGTGTGGGTTTATCTGTATACAGAATAATTACACAACTATAAAAGAACAGAGTTCCAATGTCCCTGCGTTGCACATATTTTATCTATCCAAGGTAAAAGGGCAATAACTAAATAATACAATTTTTTTTTTGTTCTTTAAAACTGTTCATAAATATCTTGGAGAAATAAATGCTTCAGAGCAAATTCAATATCATATCTGATATAATTAATTTCCAATGGGCATAACTCATTAAAATTATTTGATCAGCACTTATTTTCGAAAGTGTCAAAAACATATAAAGGCAATTTTCCATATAATTAATATTTCCAAGGGGCATAACTCTTTTAAAAATAATAGATCTGAATTTCGAACTCAACAGAGACATTGCTGATATAAATCTATGATATAAGTTCCATAAAATTCTGGGAAGAATTGCACACATGAGAGCGTTAACGATGCAATTTTCCATATATTTAATATTTCCTAGGGCATAACTCTTTTAAAAATAATTGATCAGCACATATTTTCAAACTCATCTGAGAAATTGATGATATAAATCTACAATATAAATTTCATAAAATTCTGGCAAGAACTGTACACATGAGAGCACTAAGGAAGCAATTTTCCATATAATTTATGTTTCCAAGGGGCATAACTCTTCAAAATAATTGATCGGCACTGATTTTCAAAATCATCCAAGACATTGCTGATATATTTTAAAACCTGTGACACAAGTTTCATAAAAATCTGGTAAGAATTGTACACATGAGAGCACTAACGATTAAATTTTCAATATAATTAATGTTTCCAAGGGGCATAACTCTTTTAAAAATAGTTCATTGGCGTTGATTTTCAAACTCTTTCGAGACATTGCTGATATAAACCTATGATATAAGTTTTATAAAAATCTGCCAAGAATTGTACAGGTGAGAGCGCTAACAAGACCGGATGGACACCCAGTATTTTTATGTAACCCCGCAACACGTTGCGCAGGGGGAAAAAATTGATGTCAGTATACAAACAGGTTACAAAGTTTGATATATATATATATATATATATGTATGCGTATATGTGTGTGTATGTATACACCAAGAGATGTGTCAAATGGTTTTCAAGTTGATTACTGTTGGAACTGCACTTTACAGTAAACATTTTCTTGCATATGAAGTTAGTTATGAAGAATATATTTAAACTGTTTTGATTGGAAGTATTCAATGGCTGTCAAGTGATGCCAAATGTTTACAAAACCATTGGTCAGGTGAGCTAAATATTTAGTTCATTGCAATGATCTCCACTCAAGAAACTTTTACTTTAAAAGTCAGATTTCTACTGTTTTGTTTGTCATATAATTACATGTCAGATTTCTACTGTTTTGTTTGTCATATAATTACATGTATTGTATCATTGTCAAAACTAAGGCCCCAGTTTTCTAGTTCTTGTCTTGCTTCAGGACTACTGTTAACACTGTTCACAAATTTTCCCATCGTCAGTTTTCTCTGCGCTGGAGAAACTCTTGTGTGTGTTGCTATATCCTGAAAAAAAGGAATATATGAATAAACAAGAGGATTGTCAGAGTGACAGCAAACCGGATTTTCCTGCAGAGGTCGAACCCTGAACAGTTGAGCCAGTATGGACACAACATTTAAGCTTAAAACAGCTCTGAATTTGGATTGTGATTGAATATTTGAAACAGCATAGGTTTGTGACACAAAATGAATGCGGTCAAAGAACTGAAAAATTTGAATTTGGACATTTACCTATTATGGTCCAATATCCAAAATCTAAGTACATTGTTAGAATCAGCATATCAAAGAACCCCATGAATGCAATTTTTGATGAAATCAAACAATAGTTTAGATTAGGACCCTTTGGACCTCAATGTGGACCAATTTAATAAAGGAGCCCAAAATCTCTAAATACATGGTTAGATTCAGCATTTCAAAGAACCCCATAAATTCAATTTTTGTTGAAATCAAACAAAGTTTAATTTTGGACCCTGATTTGGACCAACTTAAAAACTGGGCCCAAAAATCTAAAATTCAAATACAGGTTTAGATTCAGCATTTGAAAGAACCCTATATATATTCAATTTATGTTGAAATGAAACACAGTTTAATTTTGGACCTCGATTTGGACCAACTTCAAAACTGGGCCCAAAATCAAAAATAAATCTGTCACTCCAATTATAATTTTGTTAGTTGATAATTACCACATGTTTGTTATCTTGACAAAAGGTGGAAATTATTGCATGAATAAATTAATAGTAAATACATGTCCTAATCCAAATACATGTACAAATGTGTTTTTTAGTTAATTGTAAAAATCTATTATACAAATTGTGTGTAGTTTTATAGGAAGAATAAAAATAGATTATTATCTAATGAAAATGATATAATATTTGCAAATCTGGACCCCCAAACAGGATCAAGTAAAATTTAAACATTAAAACACACAACAAAAAGAAAATACCACATAACAACTGTGACATCTACCTTCAAACACACAATGTTAAAAAAATAGTTTTAAAGAAATTTTTGACAACTCCTGACTAAAATCAATTGAACAGATACAATCATTGATAGACTATCTATCCATATACTTATTAATTACACCATTTCTGTTCAAAATAACTCAAAATAAATCACATAATAAGAATCACTTTTGCTACTGAACGGTCTACAACTCAACAACGAGAACGACTAAAATCGTGAAAATTGAACTTGACCTTCATTTAGTCACAGGAAACAACATATCTAAATTTGATAAGATTTCGTCAAAACCTTTTCATGTAAATGAGCGGACACTGTTTGGCAGCCGCCCGCCCGCCCGCCGTACATCCCCAAATCAATAACCGATTTTTCTTTCGAAAATCCGGTTAAAAATGACATGTAAATATGATAGGTTACATTGATTTGCAATAATCAGTATGCAATGATTCTCATGTTTTCTGGATTTCAATACATAAAATATAACAGCTGCAAGTTACAGTGTGAATATGTTGAGGGTGAGTGGCTTCAGCAAATAAGAAATAATCAATTCATCAACACAATATGAAACTTGAAGTGTTAATTGTGAGTTTCCAGGAAAACTTTTAAAATATTGAATCAACTTGCAAACACAGTTGAAATTTGTCAATACTAAAGAACTAATAGCTTGAAGGGAAAGATATCTTAAGGATATCCAATACAGTTTCAAGGGAGTTAATTCTTGGTGGGATGTTGAGGAGTGTTCATATTAAAAAAAGCAAGTCTTTCAGCTAATTCATGTGTGCAATTTTCAGTATAAATAAACTTCCCTTCACTTTTTCCATTGTTACAACATCACTGTAAGATGACCAGAATCACAATTTTCACATGCCCCAAAGAAAAGGAAAGAAAAGACAAAGGTGCAGGTTTTGAGACAGGAAAAAAACAGAAAAAGTCAATAAAATGCTTCGCTGAGCGCAGCCTGATACGACCACAGAGGTCGAACCCTGAACAGTTGGGGCAAATTTGGACACAATATTCAAGCTTGATACTGTCTGAATTTGGATTGTGATCAAATTTTTGACATAATATAGGTTTCTGACACAAAATAAATGTGGTCAAAGATCTTACAAATCTATTGCGCACTACTGTGCAATTGAAGATTTCTTCTTGAAACTTTTCAAAAATTTGAAATTTGAAAAATTTTGAAAAAAAAATTGTAAACAAAAAATCCCCCCCCCCCCAACTTATTGAAACCCCCCTTGGAGCAATAACCCCAAAACTCAATCCCAGCCTTTCCTTTGTAGTATGGAATCTTGTAGCATAATTTCAGAGAGATCCATACACTTAAACACAAGTTATTGTCTCGAAACTAGAAAAATGCTTCTTTTTGGCCCTTTTTTTGGCCCCTAATTCCTACATGTTTGGGGCAATTAACCCCAAACTCAATCCCAGCCTTCCCTTTGTTATATGGAACCTTGTTGTACAATGTCTGAGAGATCCATACACTTACACACAAGTTATTGTCCAGAAACTAGAAAAATGCTTGATTTGGCCCCTTTTTGGCCCCAGGCCATAATCTTGCCGGCGAAATGACGATTTAAGTCGCCAAAGAATTTTGAAAATCGCTAAATCTCGCCAGCTGACTGACTTTATGGCGAAGTCAAATCGCTATGAAAATCGGTAAAAGGGAGACAACTTGTGAATACAAGTCTCCCAGGTAAAAAAAATGGCGACTGACAAGGAAAATCGAGATTTTCGAAACGACCCAGAACTAATACTGCTGACGATCAAATTAAATAAATATAATGGCGACTTTAACATCCTCGGATATAACATTCAAAACTACTCAAACGAAAAACTGACTGTCTGTTAAAGTTATCATTTTACGATGATTTTTATCTGAGGATGTTGCGTAATCACTCAGCTGATTTGTTTTATTTTTATTTATTACGAATCGATCAAATTGTACTATTTGGTAGGTTAAGGGTGGGAATTACATGTAACGGTAGATTTAATATATTCATTGAATAAAAATTGAAATATAAAAGGTAGAAAGACAGCTGATGGATAATGTGATTGCAAACGTAATCAGCAGTGGATTTTTTTTTTAGATAGCTTTAAAAAGTGATAGAAATAAGCTCTTTCTCGGTTAATTAATATGTGATTGACAGATATTTTCATTTATAGGCTTACAATCTTTAACGAGAATCTCAATTTACAAGTGCATGTAACATGATGTCCTGGACATTCAATAATGTTTTACAAAATAATGACAAGTGGTGATATAAATTAAATTCCCAGTCATGTGAAATTCATCAGGTAAACTGGGAGTCATATTTTTCTGGACATTTAAAAATAAATTGAGGTAGATGCACATGAATTTAATGCATCATAATATTACAAGGCTACTCCCTCATGTCACAAGCAACAAATTTTATTTAAACTTAAATTCAAGTTGACAGTACAAATGGTATCAATGAATAAATAACAACTATATTGTCTAAACCTTTTTATTAAGAACTTTTTCTATATATACATTTTGTACAACAGTCAAGGGTGTAACTTAAATAAGTTATTAGAGAAAAAAAACATACATGTGTTATTACAGATACTTTCATGAGTTGTCTACTCTTTTTTTCTTAGTCTGTTACGTAACATTTGTTTGTTATTAGTTAAATATATAAATATTTTTATTTTTAGTGGGCACTTGGGAATTCTTGAAACTGCGCAGTAACTTAATACATAACCTTGATAACTAATTTTCCAATTCAATTAATACATTTTTTATCAACCATGGTAAATCAATGACACAATGCTTTTAAGGGATAAACTTAGCTGTAATAACAAGGCTTAGTTATTTCAGGCATGTAACTTATTATATGAGACACTTGGGAATTACTGGGAAGCTTGCGCAGAACCTCATTACATGCTCTGATCATTATTTCTTACAATAAAATAAAATACATTGTCATATATGTCTGAGCAAAGGCTTTGAAGAGATGTAGAGAAGCTGTAATAACACCCTTTAGTTATAACAGGCATATATTTTCTGTTATAACATAGGTGTACTATGCATGATTGACAAACTATGAACTGTTATATCTTTCTGAAGTTTAGTATACACAAAGACAATGATAATATCAATAGAACTTGTATACAATTTAACAAAATAAAGTATGTATATTGCCCCTTTGAAATATGTAACATTCATATGTTATCACAGTTTTTTTATTTTTTAGTCCACAATAACAAATGTATGTTATTTTTCTCTAATAACTTTTTTAAGTTAGACCCTTGACTGTACAATAACATGAAAAAACTGCAAGTATATTTTTTATTGCATGTAAAACAATTTCTTTAGTGATAAGCACAAGAACACTATGCAACTGAAACGGTAATGGAATCTCACTTCTCCAAGAAATTGACCACTTCTCCCTTCTCTCTCGTGGAAGGAGAAGTCACTTCTCCCTCTCCAAAATCCTAGATTAGGCCCTGTTTGGCCCTTAATTCCTAAACTGACGAAGACGACATCATACCATTATACGATCCAAAAAAATTTTTGCAGTCGTATAAAAATGACAAAAATGACAAGGAGACGTGAAAAGGTTAAGAAAGGTCAAACTTTATAACATAACTCACCAATTCTTTTGCCAACATGTGTGTGAATTACAATTGCATTTCTTGATTTTCAGTATTTTAAAGGCTAGTCTGTAATTAAGGTTTGTTATCTATTTAGGTAGATGTTGACTAAACCAATTAATCATCAATGGATCTATATTCTTCTGTTTGCAAATGTAGTTGGATAAACTAAAGATGACGATGATTACAAAAAAAAAAAAAAATGAACAAAAAGAAATCTGAAGCAAACTGAATGAGAATAGATAAGTTTGATTACAAATACTACAAGAAATAAGATCTGACTAAAAACACAATTCCTCAAAGGACATGTAGCACTTACCTTTCTAATTTTGTCCTAAAGGATGGCAGAAACATAGTTACATTATGTGCTTTCATAAGTGAGAATATTTTACTGAGATGAGGAATAGTAAACGAAGGAAATTAGG